GTCGAAGCTAGTGGCGGAGGTATCGAGAGGGCTGAGGGAAGCGATGGGGCTGCGGCTGTTCAATTTCGACATGATTAGGGATCGGAACGGCAACTACTTCGTGATCGACATAAATTACCTGCCAGGATTTGCAGTACTGCCGAATTACGAGCCGTTTCTGACGAAATTTTTGAAGGAAGTTGCGGAGAGGAAGAAGAAGAAGGCGGAAGCGGACGCCATTGGAGACGCTGAACCTGCAGAACCGAAACCTCGATGCTGCTGTTTCCATTGAAGAACTCTTTTTTTTTTCCTTGAATTATTGTTTTTTTTCTTAATTTAAAAAGACTGAAAGATCTTTGTGGGGGTATTTTGGTAATTAAGAGGGAATGGAGTGGCAAGTTGGCGACGTGCATGCATGGGATTTGGCGAGGAATTGTCTCAGTACACTGTACTGTGTGTTTAATTATTAATATATGTTAGTGTATGACTTATTTTTATGATAATAATAATAAACTTACTTGCATTCTAAGTTTTTCCATGGTTAAAGTGAATAGCTTGGGGTTGGTTTTAATTACACATCTCGGAACTCTAAAGTCCCGTGATGAAAACTTCAATTCTTTATTAAATCGTAGAAATGTAATCAAATGGTGAGATCCACCTCAAATTTTATAATCCCATCACACTGCTACAATCTATGAATCTCATTCTCATTTCCTATTCTGTAGACCCCATATAATGTATATTTTTATCCATTTTCTCTTCTCCGTGGATTAGATATATATAATTTTTAATTAGTCTTTTTATATTTTTATAATTTCTTCTCTATTCATAATCCAACCTGTAATTTTATTATATAATATGATAAATTAATATTAATTAATACCAATAAATTTTTTAAATAGATATTATTACTTTTAAATATTAGAATAATAAAACTTAATAATATATTACATTAAAGTTTGGTTGTTCTAATAAAAATTATTTGATTTGATGTAATTTTTTTAATTATTGATTATGTATTAATATTAGATAAATTGTTATAATAAAAATATTTACTATCAATAATATAGTAATAAATTAAATTAAAATTTATTATTATTGTAAATTAAAAAAGATTAGTACAATAATATATTTGTAATCAGTTAAAAAAGAGAAAGAGGTATTTTAGTAATTCTTAGTAAACAACGTCAAAAATTCTGATTACGATTACAAAAAGTTTCTGGTAAACAATATCAATGGAATAATATTACGATTTCGATTGATTTCGATTGGTTTTATTGCTTTAAAGGTGGCCTACGTATAAAGTTGTTGAATATTATTCGATCGATTTTTTTAGTTAAAAAGAAAATGGAGATGTGACGTGGCAATGGTGGTAAGAAGTGTGGTACACATGGATAAAAATAGTTTCAAGAGAAAAATACACTTTTGGTCTAGGTATCTATTTAGTCCCTAAAGTTTTAAAATGAATATTTTTAGTGTCCAAGGTTTACAATAAGTGTTTATTTGATCCTTGAAGTTTTAAAATTGACATTTTAGATTTCAAAAGTTTGAAAATAGTTCTAAATGGTCCTTGAAATCTTTTCACCTCTTTCTCTCTTTCTATATCTTCTCATCTCTCCTACTCATTCTCTCCCATCTCTGGCAAAAGTTGCCGCCACCGGCCAATTATATTGAAAGATCGGTCTTCTCATTGTCCATAAACCATGGTCCATCCGAAGAAACACAGGCTTTCCTGATTGAAAGATTGAGATGGATGAGGGCCTGTACCGCCTCCAAGAGATTTCCATATCTTCTAGCACCATCAAAACCTGAATCAAACACAGGCAAAAGGGAAGTTTCAGTCACCGAATCAAACAAAATTTCAGAAGAAGAGAGTGTTGTAAAGGAGATCTTACCTTCACCAGAGTGGCCGAGAGCAGGCACCATTGTTAATCACAACCATGAAAAGAAAACTATTGTTCCAAAGGCAACAAAAATTAGCCACCCTCCCCCATAATTGTAGACCGTTAGACCACTTATTGGAATTACTTTTTGACAAATTGGCATTGACATATTAAAATACATTGTTAGATATGTTGGGTTTGTATGAGGTGCGAACAAAGTCTCACGTTCATTGTCAAACCGAGCATAGGTCAAGTAGTTAAGGCATTTATCTCTGACCAAAAGGTCATGATTTCGAACTCCCACCCCCCACATGTTGTACTAAAAAAAGCCAACCAATTAATCTTAGGAGATTATGAGAAACTCAAATAGTTATGGTTCCCAATACACTATACTTCTTGAGTTCCATCAAACAATATTGTCCATATTTGGTTGTGGTTGCATAGATGAGGGAACACCATAAACCACAATTCTATCATTAAAGATTTTGGATTTCTTCGATGCTTAGATCATTGGTTTTAATTGTTTTATTCTAGAACAATAATGAATTAAGATTCATTTAATTTTCCAACAATACATAAAGGACAATTATCTGGAAGCATTTTAAGTGAAATCAAAAGCAAATCCGTGAGGGCTATGTTCATAGCGGACAATATCATACAATTGTGGAGATACTTAGGGTACTCGGGGTACCGTTGTCTTAATAAGTGATACTAGAGCTATATAAGCGAGAAAAATTATCTCCATTTGTATGAGGTGGCTTTTTGAGTGAAACCAAAAGTAAATCCATAAGGGTTATGTCTAAAGTGAACAATATGTCGTACCATTTTAAAGATACTTTTTAATAAAGCATATACATCAATCAATTATTAATTTTTTTCTTTTTAAAAAATTGTTGTATGCTCGCCCTTCCCTCCATTAACTTTTTCTTGGTTTTTGGCCAAATGTGTAGTTTTGATACTAATTTTTTATTACGTAGAAAACTAATAGAAGAACATTAGTCAACAAAAGTCTGACAATTTGTGTGAAGACACGTGGCTAGGTTTAAATTCATTTGGTTGGATAGTTGTTTAAGAATAAAAAAAAGTGTAAAAGATTCGGAATAATATGCCTAACTTGATGATAACATTCTCCATCATCCCCGATTCTATATCCTTAGCAAATCTCTTCTATTAATATTGTGATTCA